GGCCGAGGCGGTGCTGGCGCCGCTGCGCGGGCTGCTGCTGGCGGGCGACGCCGCCTGCCCGCCGCCGGTATGTGGCGGGGCCGGGGCCGGGACAGGACCGGACCGGCCTGCGCTGACCCCCGCTGCTTCCCTGCCGGCAGGGCGAGCCGCAGGAGCAGCCCCCGGATCCGCTGGCCCGTGGTCCGGATCCGCTGGCCCACGGTCTGAATCCGCAGGAGCAGCGCTCGGATCTGCTGGCCCATGGTCCAAATCCGCTGGCCCACAGTCCGGATCCGCTGGCCTGTGGTCCTGATCCGCTGGCCCATGGTCCAGATCTGCAGGAGCAGCGCCTGGATCCGCTGGCCCATGGTCTGAATCCACAGGAGCAGCGCTCAGATCCACTGGCCTATGGTCCGGATCCGCTGGCCTGTGGTCCTGATCCGCTGGCCCATGGTCCGGATCGACAGGAGCAGTGCCCAGCTCGGCTGGCCCATGGTCCAGCTCCGCTGGCCCACAGCCCAGATCTGGCCAGTGGGTCAGATCTGCCGGCCCATGGTCCGGATCCACTAGCCAATGGCCTGGACCCACTAGCAGACAGCACAGATCCAACACCCACTGGCCCAGATCTGCTAGCCAACAGCTGGGATTCGCTAGCCAGTGGCCCGGATCCAGTAGCTGATGGCCTGGACTCACTAGCCAGTGGGCTGGAGCTACTGGCCAGCAGTCCAGATTCGCTAGCCAGTGGAGAATACTCAGTAGCCAGTGGTGCAGATCCACTAGCCAGTGGCCTGGATCTGCCAGCCAATGGCCTGGATCCACTAGCCAGTGGCCTGGCCACTAGCCCTGGTGCGCTGGCCCGCAGCCCGCCGGTGCTCCCCAGCGGTGCGGAGTCCCTTGGGAGCAGCCCGGAGGCAGCGGGCGCCCTCGTGGCTGAGCCGGGCGGCAGCCTGGGGGCAGGAGGCGCCGCGGCCGCGCCGGCCAACAGCCTGGAGCTGCTGCTCGCCGAGCGCAGGTGCGGGGGACACCGGGGGACACCGGGGGACAGCGTGCGCGGGGCCGCGCCGCCCCTCACGGCACCGCGCAGGGGGCAGCGCGAGGCCGCCGCGCTGCCCGCCAGCCCCAACTGGGCCAGCGCGGAGGAGAGCAGCAGCTCGGCGGGCTCGGCGGCCGAGGACGTGCCGCTGGCCGAGGAGCACAGGTAGCGGCCGCGGTGCCACGCAGTGCAGTGCGGTGCAGCGGGCACCGTGTCCCTGCACTGCCCGTCACCCCCGCGCCATCCCCAGGCTCTTCCTCGCCCGCTTCGCCGCGCAGCCGGGGCTGCTGCCGCGCGTGCACCCCGGCGAGCCCGTGTTCTGCGCGTGCCCGCTGCCCGCGCCCACGCTCGACGCCCGCGGCCTGCGCCCACAGAGCGCCCTGGAGCGCCTCTTCCTGCAGTGAGTGCCGGGCACGGGTGGCCGGGCTGCCCGCGGTGCCGCGCTCACGGTGCCACCCTCCGCAGCGCGTCGCCCGCGCGCCAGGCTGCCCTGGTGCGCGAGGGCCACCTGAGCCTGCTGTACCGCTGCGTGCCCGCCTGCCCGCCGCCCGTGCTGCGCTGGCTGTTCCAGGTGAGCGCCGCGCCGCGCTGCGCCGTGCCGCGCGCCCGCCCGCCACCCACGCCACGCTGCCCGCCCGCCAGATGACGGCCGTGAGCCCGGACACGGCACACGCTGCGCGGGCGCTCTGGGACATCAACGTGCACCGGCTGCGCGGCGCGGGTGAGCGTGGCGCCCTCGGGGCTGCCCGTGCCGCACCACACCGCGCTCACCGCCCACTCGCCCACAGGGCAGCCCTGGTGCCCCACGGTGCCCGAGATCGGGCAGGCGTTCTGCCGCCTGGGCGCCGACCTGGGCGCCCTGCACCGCCAGGGGCTGCTGCCGCTGGAGCTGTGTCCCGCCGCACACAGGTGACGCGTGGGCACACAGGGCACCCACGCATCCGCCCGCCCGCACCCACCACCCCGCTGCCCACAGGCCCTCAGAGCGGGCGGCCACCGCCAGCGCCCCGGTCCTGGCCACGCAGCTCGGGGACATCTGCAAGGTGGGAGCGCAGCATCCGGCACTGCCATCCGGCTCGGCACCCTTGTTATCCCTGCCCAGCTAATTGGGTGCTTGATAACGAGGCCAAGGGCTGGGCCAGCTGCTGGGCCGGTGCCCATGAGGGAGCCGCCGGCGCCGTGCCCAGTGGCGTTTTTGGGGTGTTGGGGTCGATGCAGTGCCCGGCTCACGTGCCGCCGGCGCAGCTGCTGGCGCTGTGCGTGGTGGTGCAGCCGGGCTGCTACCCGGACCGTGCGCGCCTGGCGCTGCTCACCCTGCTCTGCTTCGTGGCGCTGGACCGCGCGCTGCGCTGCCAGCCTCTGCCCGACCTGCAGCACCTACTGCACTGCCTGCTCGAGGGCATCAGCGACTGGCAGCAGCAGGTACCCGCGGCCGCGGCGGTGCCGCGCGCGCCGCCCGCCCGCGCTCAGCGCCGCGCTCTGCCCGCAGCTGCCCGATCTGTGCCTGGCCCTGTGCCAGCTCTCCCAGCACCACCACAACCTGGTGGCCGTGGTGCGCCTGCTGCCCGACATCAGCGACAGGGGCAGGTGGGTGCCGCGCAGCCCTCGCGCTGCAGCGCTGCCTGGCCGCACCGCAGCGGGCGCTGCAACCGCGTCGTCCCGCAGGGAGCTGCGGCGCCGGCTGAGCCTGTGCGCGATGGCGC